TAATTCTATATTCATAAACCTATTACTTTATTCAAAAATGAAAAGTAGTGCTAAGTACATATGTTGTTATTAAACTTGCATTTTCTACTAAAAAAAATGATATCAAGAAATTACGTCAAGTAAGAATAATTTTTGCAAAATTGCGTTATTTAAATGTTGTACCTACTGAAAATAATAAAAAGCAAATTGTAGGAAGGAATGTTTTCCATACAGATAAGTTAGCATTTGTAAACGTATATTAATTTACTTCGGAATTTTTTCAATGACAAGAAGTTTCGTTAAGTTTTAAAGAAAAATTAAGATACTAAATTAAAATCTAAAGCTAAAAGTATTTAACGCATTAATTAAAGCACAAGTCTCTATAAAATGTACATATCGTAATTTTTGTGCTAATTACGTTGAAATATTTTATATATTTAAAATTAAAATTGATAAACTAATTGTACATTAGAAGACTTCTTTGATTACAATTATATATAATACAAAAGATGAAGCCAAATTTGTAGATGACAGTTTCTTAATCCTTTCTGACCTGAATTTACTTTTGCAAGTAAAAAAAATTTTTTCTTTCAATTTATTTTATCTTTGGGCACAGCAAGAGTTACACTGAGTGAACTTAAAAGTTAGTGATTACAAAGCTTTGGAATTAGTCGGGCAGAAAGATTTAAATTTGTTGAATTTTTAATACAAAGTTGCGAAATGTTTCGATCTTACTTCCTCTTACTTTAACCGTAGGTCCTCTTTAATCGTAATACAAAAACCATAAATTATATCATAAATTCGGTTGGTTTCGAGATATTTGCATCGATGATGAACCAAGTAATTTTTCACAGAAAGCCAATCGGGATTGGTCGATACTTTTGTTTGGAACCATCTCAACTAGTGATCATCAACAGTGAAGCACCGATCGAAAACTAATTGAAAATATTGAGTTGTGAGGAAAGTAATGTCGTATTTTCAGCTAAAAATTGTAGTAAGTTTATTTGTATTTAAAAACAATTTCAATCAATAATGTAACGGCCGTCGTTTTCTATAATCTTTTACCATCTTTCGGGCAGCTATATAATTTCGTGCGTGTAGAATTCGGATGTTTTCGTAGCGAAGAACTGCTGAAGGTGGTTTTTGCAGTCCTCCAAAAAGTGAACGTCTTACTCTTAAGGAAATTCTACAAAGGTCGGAACAAATAGTGATTCGAAGGAACAGTGGCTGGTGAATATGTTGGGTACGGTGAAATATTCCAGCCGAGTTGTAACATTTTTTCCCAGGTGAAAGAAGCATGAGACCTGACGTTGTCCTGATGCAATAAAACATCTTTTCCGTTGACCAGTTCTAGGCATTTTTCCGCGATAGTTTCCTTCAGTTTGTCTAATTTGATATTGTCCGAATTAAAGCGTACGTTCTTTGAAAGAAGCTTATGATACTACACTCTAATGAACGCACGTGAAAGACCGAACATTGTATAAAGAAAAATGGTTTAATTCTGAAGATCTCCTAGCAACGATGAGCATCAACTGATTTCTAAAGGCGGGGTAACACAATGAGTAGCGAGTGGGCTGTGCGCAGAAAAGAAACACGCCTCTCGCTAATTGTTAATTATTTCCGTTTCTGTATGTTTGACTGTACGCACTTTCACGAGTTCATGAGTTAGTGAAAATATCAAGAATTCACGACAAAAATGAGATTTACTCCACAGGAATATGCTGACATGATTATTATGTACTGGTTAGTATGGGGCAAGATACCGCGGCTCAAATGTACGCGGAACATTTTCCCGTAAGTGCGCGACATCCTGGTGGAAGCATAATTTTATAAGGCTCAGTTATGCGAAAATTACGCGAAACAGGATGTTTGGTGCTGTATAGTCGTGAAACAATGAATGTGCCAGTGCGACTTCGTGTTGGAGACGAAGAAAGAATTCTTCATTTGGTATTTGAAAATCTGGGAATCAGCGTACACTGTTTGGCCCATCAGCTCGGCTTAACAAAACATCACACTTTGCGTAGAAATAGATCCCGTTCCACTATCAACGTGTGCAACAATTCTTGTCGGGTGATCAAGAACGACGCGTCTGTTTTTGCGAAGGTAATCATTGACGTTTCACATTCGCGATATTTTTCAAATATTGTAACACCATCGATAAAATATACGCACATTCTTTCTCGCGCAATGTCGGATGCAGGATGTATCTTTCCCCGACAACATTTTGCGGACCGACGAAGTCACTTTCCCGCTGAACGGCGTATTTAATAGGTGCAATCTCCTATATTGGGAAGAAAAAAATCCGCACGGAGTCCACGAGAGTTCTTCCCAACATCGGTGATCAATGAACGTTATAGGAGGGAAGAATCGGGAATCAAGTGGTAGTTACGGGAGCGGTGAAAATGTAACATTTTGCTTATTAATATAAATTTTTCCATCGATGATTTTCAGGTCGGTCCACATTTTCTCCCGCAACATATAAATGGGGGGAGGGGGAGAATTTACACCGAATTTTTAAGTAACCATTTGCCAATTCTCCTGGCTGATGTACCTCTTCGACGTTGACTTGATTTTGCAACATGACGGTGCTCCGCCTCATTTTCGCCGACGAGTACGCGATATTTGAAATTAACTCGCGTTATCCGAGTAGGCGGATGAGTCGTGGTGTCCAAATCGCCTGGCCGGCACGGTCGTCAGACCTTGACGTTTTAGATTTTTTCCTACGGTGCCATGTGAACAATTTAGTAGAATACCAGTGAAATAGTAACAAAGAACGAAGTACGTGAAGCCATCATTGCGGCCTTCGATATTGTGCCGGACACAGCGTACCGTGCAATGCGCAATATTCCTCGAGTAACCGAACTCCGCATGCGAGAAAGAGGACGTCACTTCGAACAGTTTTTAAAACATTAAATAATGAGAGTGGATTAGGCCTACTGGGGAAACCACTATAAAAAAAACGCACCATGCTATCTACCGCAAGGTGGTGTGGAAATGATAGCGCGCTGCCACGATGTAAACATTACGGGAAGACGAAATTATCTTTCAACGTGCGATCCTCGCACGCTGTTCGCTTCGTCACTTTTATGTACGCATATCTATGTAGCCGAAGCGGCGACACTTTGTTTCGGCGTCGATCAGCTATACGGGAATATTTTACGCGTATGTAAATATGAGTTAGTATATCACGCGTCGCGTACTGTCTCGTATGGACGGAGAAACGCGGCAAACCCCGCGAGTGTCATCATCGCGCGCCGCGTCGAAGACATTTTTCTCTTTCTACGTGTTCGATCTACCGCTTCTCGTGCGCTCATCAGCTTAGACAGATTAATTAATTCCCCTGTTGCGAATTTTGCAAATGTACCTTGTTTTACTTTTCTATTCAATTTAACTCGTTCTACTTTCACACGAGCGCGTTTAAAAAAAGAAAAAGGACACCCTGTATATGTATAGAGTGTCCCAAATTAATCTCGGTTTCCATGGTGTGCAAGTAGAACAGATGATGCTGAGCAGAAAAGTTATGTACCATTTTGCAAAAGTCACAATAGTTAGTGAGGAATTATTTTGTCTGAGCTATAAATAGGTGAGCTATAAATTGTTATAAATAGACATAATCAAACTTCAAGATGTATATATTTTAATTAAAAAATGGAATTGTAACAGAGCAGCATAATTATGATACTGCGACATTTTTGTTACGTAAGGTATGTATTAAAGGTTCTAAAACGTATGTTCTTCGAACGTTCCCACTTTGTTTGAATATAACCAAACCACGTGAACGCAAAGCGAACATTCCTCGAACGTTTACGTGCTGTTTGGGTTAGAATAAGAAATTGATCAACCATATTCGAATGTAAGGAGAATCATCGATTATGATTGGTTAATTTCTTACTCTTACTTTTTATAAACATACTCCTATTGCCCATTGTAGACTACGCTTCAAGTTGCGTTCGGAAATCTACACTGTGTGCATGCCATTAGACACCAGCTGTGTTCTGAAATATCCAGGCTGCGTTCAGAAATATTACTCTTTAGTGTACTTTTATGACTTCAATGACTAAAGTCACGAAAGTAGAGTTGGGTGATTCATAGATATTAATAGAGAAATAAGGATTTCTCCCAGGAAAATAGGGATTTCCCCGCAAATTGTGGAGGAAAACTTTAGGAACTATGAAATAGGAACTATGGATTGGGTATTGGGATTGAGATTGAATTTAGCCAATCAGTACAAAGTTAATTGAATTCAAGTTTAATAAAATTTAGTGAACTTTATATTGATTGGTCAAATTTCAATTCAATCACAATCTTCAATCCATACAGGCTTAAGGACATCCGCAGCCAAAATTGAGAACTAGAACTAGAACTGAGAAGCAGAAATGACTTTTGCTCACAGGACGCGGCAATGCTTACCGCAGTAGTTGATCAACATGTTGTTTTTCTATGAGAACCTAAAATTTATTGGCTGCCACGGCAAGCATTTCCGCATCCTGTGGATAGAAGCCAAAACAGATTGTGGTTTCAGTAGCGTAGGAGACAGGCCTCAGGGTGGTTCATAGCCACAACTAAGGAGAAGATTGTAGTTCCAGGCTCCAGTTGTTTTACATACTGTATATATTACTTGAAAAAAGTGCAACATTGTGCGATATTGAGTATGACGTTTGTTTTACGATCATTATCAATTTCTCCTATTATAAAAAAGCAATCTTTACACACAGTTAGGAATACGATTACATTATCTAACCATAAAATTCACATGACAAGATGTAAGTACGTCATAATGTAAACACTCATGTTGTCACATTGGCATGTTATTGATTATTACATTATAAAATTTGTAAAATGAAACAATTTTTTTTTATAGGTATGCTTCAAAGTGAATATGAAATGCAAGAACCTAAAACAGAAGCTGATATGTAGGTATCATAGATATGTAGGTAGGCTGATATAAAATAAACACATGTTATATTTTATGAAACCGAATAATTGAATAAATTTTTTACTTTAATTTAGAAATATTAAATATAATTTGGAATAAAGAATACATAGTAGCATGCATAGAAATTCAACAAAATATTCAAAATTATTATATTTTATTGAATTATTTCATATGAATAGAAATACGGAATAAACAGTACATGAATATACAGTAAAGAAATATCTCAGCAATAGACCACTATTATTACTCACTGTTATATCAATGCTATATATTTGATTATAAAAACACAATAATTAAAAGGATAATATTGGTAAATGTTGTATTAATGGATTTAATTTACATGCCTTAAAATGCATGGAATATATGAATTTCCAAAAGTTTGGTCAAGTTGTTTTGATACTAAAAATTTATCAAAATTACAAATAAAATATATAGATAAATATCATGAAACTATAAATCGAGGCAGTAAAGATCTGTAAATAATGATATGTAATATAAATGTAGGGAGGAGAGAGGATAATTGTATGTGGAAGGTATATACAAGATGTTTTAGACAAATAGGGACAAACTTTAAGGATGTAGAGCGGATTGAGATGAACAAAAAAGCCTTGTACCACTTTGCAAACAACATGCAAAATTTCATGTTATTAATTATTGAAAATGATCATGTATAGAGACTCCTTTAATTAATCACTCAAAAATTCGCGTGTCACTTGCAAAATAGTAAAGGACTTTTTTGTACAGAGTAGCCTAATCTACAAATATATGATAACTGTTGTACTTGACTGCGACAGACATCATTACCTTGAACTTTGAACTTTAAACCTGTCGTACAAGACTTTTTTGTTCACCTCAATCTGTTTTACATTCTTGTGAAGTTTGCCCCTGTTGATTTAGGACATCCTGTATATATGCTAAAACTATGTAAAACACGTGTGTGATTATTTATATTAGGATTATTTCTATTATAAGTATTCGTAAACATTGAAAGTATTATAGTTCAAATAATATAAAACTTTTGCACATATAATTTGTTTCTTATTATGTTACAAATAATGTTGAAAAAGTTGTCTCCACATATAGAGTCTTATTTAATGAATTAAAGAAGCACGACCAGACTCCATTGTGTTTCAATATTTATAATGTTATACTAACCCTTCAAGACCCATATATTGACCTCATTTGAGTAAAATGTTGTGAGATCGTTTTAAAGGATGTTCCTGATGAAAATTTTTGGTCCGAATATAATTGGCAGAGAAGTTCGATTTTCTAAATGTACATAATCATGTATATTGTGTATTTAAGGTATAAAAATGAGAAAATATTAAAAGAAGTGGCATTTAAGAAATATTTTTAACTTGTTTATAACATAATCGTTGAAGATAAATAAAAAAATTACGGTTCATTTATTATCTATTTATTATGGAAAAAATGAAATCAGTTTCCGGACGATGTATAAGGCTATCATGAGGAGCTAAAACACAGATATGTTATAGTGTCACTTAAATATTAATATTATTAATATCAATATATCTATGGGAGAATAAAAATGTTCATCGCGTATCATGCACGCATCGAAGAATTTTTCGGACAAATATACGCGGCCTTCTACGTATGCACTGATCCTTGAGTCTCAATAATGTAATTATATATATCAAATACTCATGGAACCATCTCTAATTAATAAATCAAATAATAACTTATTTCTTGGTTCCATTTCTCATATTGCGAAAAATATTACCTCAACCAGGAATCGGATTAGGAATTGGATTTTCCTACTAACCAGGCGGAATGCTGTATCAATTCGGCCATCAAAGGTTTCGACAGTATTCCTCGTAACAATCAATGTTTATAAACTCATAAAGATGTATGTACAAAAACGAAATAAGCATAATTTTCCATTTTCCATACAATACCCAATTTCCATACTATAAACGAAATTAAATATGACTTCTCCGAAAAATGACAGATTTTTTGCAACATGAGAAAAGAAATAAAAAATAAGTTACTATTATATATATATTTTTTTTTATTAATATTTTTTAACACCGATTATATGTAGTGAAAATTACTCTATTGGTTATCTTTCCAGAGTCAATGTCATTTTTATTGATAAAAGAGGCAAGAAGTATGCGGTACAAGGGAAAGTAGGAGACAATGTACTTTATTTAGCTCATAAATATGGGATTGAAATGGAAGGAGCATGTGAGGCCTCCCTAGCATGTACGACTTGTCACGTATATGTGCACCATGACTATCTGAACAAACTTTCAGTTCCTGAGGATAAAGAAGAAGATCTCTTAGATTTGGCACCTTTCTTAAGGGAAAATTCTAGACTAGGTACGAAAATTCTAGAATAAATGCGATATTTATTACTATCTATTATATTGACTTTCATTTGGCATTATACTGTGATACCTATTCCAATATACATATTATATCTATGATACTTATTATACGCTTATATTTCACTAGTGTGGGCAATGCATTCAATTGCGTACATTTAATACTACAACTGTTCACTAAGTAGATTTGTGTTTCATATTTGATTTCATTATTCCGGTCCTGATTGGTTGCAGATGGTGAATAGGATATTCACAGACACTGCCATCACAGAGCTCATCCATTGCATTGCGTGCGATCATTCGCCGATCTTCTTTAATTAATAACTCAAAAATTTACATTTATTTGCATAATGATATAGGATTTTTTAATTCAATTTAATTTAATTTACATATATATGAACGTTATCATATTTATCATCAGACATCCTGTATATGAATGTTATATATATAAGTTAATCCTCATTCCTCTTTTTTTAGGTTGTCAAATAATCTTAACAAAGGAGTTAGACGGTATCCAACTAGAACTACCCAAAGCAACTAGAAATTTCTATGTAGACGGACATACCCCAACACCACATTAGAGAATATTGTTTTTTCTGTATTTAAATTAATGATGTGAAACGTTAAATTAAAACATGTGAATCAGTAAAACATGTAGAAATTATTTTTGTATAATATCTGTTTGTACATATATACATCTTATAATGAGACGAATTATTGTAACGTAAGCATATAATCTTTCTACTTCAGATTATGCATATGGTAACTGTTTACAAAAAATTACATATCACGAATTACTTCGATTTTGATATGTTATTCCTTAGAGAAATCCTGAGAAAACAACTTTTACTTACCTGGGGAAAGTGTCCCACAATTCTAGAGCTCAAAAACATTTTCGGTGATGAAGTACTTGCAACAATGAAAATATCGGGATGTATCAGGTTATTTCTTAGTGAAAGATACGATGCTATTTTACGCGTTCAGGTAGTAGTTGCAACGCTGATCGTTTTTGAATATGTCGTTAGATGAAAAGTATGGATATCTTATTATGATCGATATAAGTATATCGCAGAACGCACTCGGTATTTTTTGCATTATTTAATACTGACTCGGTTTCAACTAGGATAAAGGATAGCTCATCTTCCGATCTCTTGTTCGATTGCACAAAGAATTAAGGCTCCTGGTCCCTCGTTGCAACTATCCTTATCTGATGACGTCAGAAGCGAGAAAACACATGCCAAGAATTCTTGCGTTATACGTTCAAATAAAAAAATATTCCCACAAAATGATACTTGTGATCGATTCAACACACTTATAAAATTGTCCGAACACTTTTATTCGAACGATCAATAAATAGTCGCAAAATTAACTTGACATAGAACTTTTCTTTCTAATCTTTTTTCTCATGATTTTGTCAACGTTAATTTTACCACTGCTCATTGATTGTTCAAATAAAAAAAAAGTGTTCGTCCAATTTTACAAGTGTGCTGAATTGATCACAAACGTCATTCTGTAGATATATCTTTTTATTTGAAAGTATAACACAAAAAATCTTGGCATACGTTTCCTCCCTTCTAATGTCATTAAACAAAGAATCATAGCGACTACTCCGAAGCCTTAATTCAACAAAATTGATAAAGTTATGTCATAGAAATTAAACGTGTCTTCATGTTTATAATTTCTTCTTTTTTTCTTTTTCTCCTCTTTCTTAACATCAGTGAAATTNATATTATATCAATTAAATGTGTTATTAAATATTTTATACATATACAATATCAATTAAATGTGTTATTAAATATTTTATACATATACAATAATGTTGTTTTTTCTGTAATAAGTGTTATGTTTTATAATAGTAGCAAAGATTTTATATAAGTAGATAAATCCAATATATTTAGTCGCCCAATTTACATAAAAAGGGGAAGAAAGAGAAATGAAAATTAAAAGAATAAGTAGTTTTAAATCTCTTGCCATAATAAATTAGAGATTTATTTGCAAAATTTCAAAGTCGTTCAAAGTCGTTAGTTCACTGTAACTAATATAATCTATATGGTGTTCTTCTTGAAGATACCAAAATTAATTCATATATTCATATAACGCCATATACTTTAAAAATGAGCTATACTTATGTTAATTGTCTCAAATTGTGATATTAGATGTAAAAGAATAATTCTTAAGGCTCCGGAATAGTCGCTACAACTGTCCTCATTTAATAATGTCAGAAATGAGAAAACGCATGCTACAATTTTTTTGCGTTATACTTTCAAATAAAAAGATATATTCATTAAACGACATTTGTAATAGATTCAGCTGTAAAATTAAATGAACACTTTTCTTTTACTCGAACAATCAATAAATAGTCGTAAAATTAACATTGATAAAACATGATAAAAGAAGTTAGAAAAGAAGATTTCATGTCAAGTTAATTTTGCGATTATTTATTGATTGTTTGATGAAAAATGTTCATCCAATTTTACAAGTGTGCTGAATGGATCAAAAATGTTATTTTGTGAATATAACTTTTTATTTAAAAGTATAAAAATTTTGGTATGCGTTTTTTCGCTTCTGATATTATTAAACAAGGATAGTCACAGCAATTATTTTGGAATACTTAATACATTTTGTTATTCAGTAAATTATATATGTATGTAATTGCGCGTATGCAAAATTATTTGACGTCTCTATGGGACACATCCAATCGAAAAGTGAATTTGTATCATATTTTATAATTGTTTTGCGAAATTACGATGGGTTCGTAAAAAAATTAATTACATGGTTGTAATTTGCGAGAGACTTTATACTCTTTATTTTATCATAATGCGATATCGCAAAAATCACTAATTTAAAGTATAATTCTTGCAATCCAAATAATTAATTTAAAATAATCTTCACACGCATACACACATACACGCACGCACACACGCACACACTCACTCACACAATTCCCACGAGAAAATAATACTGTTTAGTACTATAGGTGAACATAATATTGACTTTGCGAAATGAGATAATTATTTGTTATATTTCTGTATAACATATTAATGTTAAACTTATTTGTATAAAGGATGTCTAAAAAATATATGTATATAAAAAGTGTATTCCGTAATTCAACTAAATTTTCGCTGAAAGTTCTAATCTTGGTGTAGTTTTAATTCGTTACTTAAATTTTTTTTAATTTTTAAATTCACTTCGAACTTTTAATTTTTATTTTTTAAAAAATTCGGATTCTCAGATCTTTGACATGAAAATTTTGATGAATTTTTAGACTTATAGACTTATTGTTCGGATAGTAAGATTCTTAAACTCTACATGTAAAATTTGTAGAGAAAGAAGAGAGAGGAGTGGAAAAAAGAAAGAGAGAGAGAGAGAGAGAGTGAGAGAGAGAGAGAGAGAGAGGAGGAGGGTATTTTTAGATTGTGTAAATTTATTCTACGACCACTTCACAAGGTGGTTTATTTAATACAAATGGAAACTACCTTAAATTAAGTCTTCATTTACACAAAACAAGTTTGAAAATTCTATCGAGACCATTATAATGATTGTGTTCAGTAGAGAAAGCAGCTTTGCAATTGTTAGAAAATTCGTGAATCTGATTGGTGTATGCTCTTAGATTCAATCAAGATTAAGAGCATACACCAATCAGATTCATGAATTTTACAACAGTTGCAAAGCTGATTTCTCTACTGAACGTAGCCAATGACACATATTTGTTTTGAGATATCCCATATAAAAGAGAATGGACGAGAATATCCTATTTATATATAATAAATTTAAGTACACAAACTATCGTCTACTCTATAAAATAGTGGTATATTTGTATTTGTAGATTTTTTGGAATCTTGTATCTTAGAATTCTCTTGTCCTTGGATTGTCTAATTCTTGAACTTCCCGAGAAAGCAGTCTAGAATCTTTACAAAATCTTACATATTGGAATAAGCATTTGAATATTTAATTATTCCAATAAGATCCTCGAAGTTTTTAGACTGTAAATTTTTTTACCGATAGATTTCAGACATAGATTACATATGATAAGTCAAATGTCTTAACGTTTTTCTGTCAATTTCAAGTAATTTTTTTATATATGTTTTATATTGATATCAAATGAAAATATCCATTTTATCTCTTTATCACTTGTAAACAATTACTTCCTTACTTCCTATAATTTTAAAAACGTGTGAAAAAATTGCATCGTTTGTTGTGTCTTTTCATAGTCTCATCAAGGGTTATTTTTCTGTTCCATATCGCTGGTATGAAAGATTAAGAATTCAAAGGTGGAGTTTTATAATTTCTCTAATGTTACAGTTTTATAGACAAGAATCAGAACCCAGGCTTATATCCATTATAGCGAGTTTGATATAAATCAATAAATCAATAATAATAATTATATTAATACGTGTTTCTACAACTTTTTCGCGCATTATTTTATCATTCTCCTTTATATATAAAACAGGCTTCCAATAATAATAATAATGATAATAACAATAATAATAATAATGATGTTAAGAATAATAATAGTAATCTACAAGACCTGATACACAAAAATAACGCGAGACGTACAAAAGTTACGTTTAAGAATTGCATGTGCACATGCGTGTGCATGTGTATACACACACACACACATATATACATACACACACATATATACACATATATATATACACACACATGCATATACACATAGCGCGCGCACGTACGCACGCACGCACGCACACATACACATATATATATATGTAGCGCGAATTATGTAAATCCATTTACATAAAATCTTTGGCAGATATTAATCGCCCACTCATACATACTCATACTCTGTATATACAGGATTAAAGCAAAAATTATTAGCTGCATTATTTTGGTAATAACTTTTGAAGGCTTCGACGAAAACATAAGTTGTAAATAATACTGTAAATATTTTCATTAGTAACGATGTAATACATTGTTTCGTGAAATATTATATTTTAATAACTAATGTTTTATTAATTTCTATTAAGTCAATATATTGCTTGATATATTGACGAAAGATTCTCTTCCATTAAAATATTGTAAAGAAATTTTTTATGTGAATAATTCATAGATTGCAAAACATAAAAAAAAATAAACATTGAACAAGATATTTTTTTCGCGATATATCTTCTTGTTCTTTGTAGAAGATAATAGAAAAACGCTTATGTATACATTGTGAGTTTTTTTATTGTACTTTATAAATATAATTTATTGCATTCTTATTAATTAAAAAGATCAGCAGCATTTATAACATACGCTTTTGTCAAACTTTCTAAGTTATTAAATAAACAAAACAGTTAATATTTTTTGCTATATAGCTCCCTGTACATGTTTAGTGTATTATCGCCTATGGCAAAGAATTATTTGCCATGAATCTCGCAAGCATATATACGTTGTCCATAGTTTCCATCTTTTTACAAATAATTTTGATTTCTTCATGAATGCGAGGGCATTTCAGCACCGCTCTTGAAATGCACCAGATCGACAAAGATATAATTGATATAAGACGATTCATAGATGTGTTTCAGCCAACGCTGTCGCCCATTACTTCAGTTTCCGTTTTCAATTCAAGGTTTTCTGCATCCACATCTACAGCTATTTCTCCCTGCATATCGACGGGCTCCTCCTAATCATACATAAAGAACATTACAAAATGCAAAGAACAGGATATACAAGAACATTACAGATTGACAAACAGTAAGTGTCCCCTTCCGATTTAGATGGGCGTGAAACATGTAATTCAGACTAAAATAAGGAACACGTTTTTTTCTTATGTACCCAATTAGACTTTTAAGGAGGAAAACATCCCTTTGAAAAGTCGGGTTTTTTCTTCGGAGCATGTATTGTATCAAAAATGTAGGAGATAGAAAAAATAAAATTTCCTAAATAAAAATTAAATGCGTTTAGGAGTAATGACATACATACATACATACATACATACATACATACATACATACATACATACATACATACATACATACATACATACATACGCACGCACGCACGCACGCACGCACACACACACACAAAATCACCCGATGAACCGTAGCTTAACCGCATACGTAGACAGCGGATTTTCAAATTCAATTTTCTCCAAACTTAGCCGAAAACCAAACACATTTTTTTTTATTTTTTCATAAGAAACACATTTTGCCGTCTTTTACATGTTATTCAGCCGAACCCTGTATATATACGCTCTATGAAAGTAAAATTTTATTTATGACAAGTTTGTATCTACTTTTGTAGTGTTTGAGGCAACTGCTACGATGCGATACACGAGTTGTAAAATTGGTCATTTATCAACCCAAAATTTCCATCGAATCCATAACATATATTGCTATACATCGCTACACATTATACTTATTCATGATTTAGGTCGCACAAACTTGGCTGTTTTCCAGCATTTTAAATATCTTACAGAACAACTCTGACGCCAACGAAACTTGTTATTCAGCTTTTATTAGACCCATGACTAAACTGAAGATAAATAGGATAAGAAATAAGATATGATAATAATATGATGGCACAACGTCATTTTGGGTTTCACGATTATATTTCACGATATATGTGTATGTATGTGCACGTGCGCGCGTGTATGAATAATTACGATTAGATATTCGCGGTGTAGAACAACATTATATTAGATACAATTATGCAACGCATGATTTCATTAATGTTATGAATTCAGTGGAAATTTTTCGTTAATGTCACATATGTCACGTTTGTTATTTCTCGCTTTGTTATAAAAATATTAATTTCCTATACTTTATAGTGCTGTGCAGTTCCTACAATGTATACGATCATAGGAAACGGTCAACCCGAATTATTTCTTTATCATTAAATACTTTAATTCCGGCAAAAAATAAAAAATAATTATTTATTTTTTTCTATTCATTAGATTTAGAAAATGATTTTTATAACATACATACATATACATCTATAATTCTTTTATAAATATACATTTAAAAAGAGAAATATTTATATTAAATATTTTTTAAAGTTCTTATATTTTTTTAAATTTATATATTGAGAGTTCACTGTGACGTTTTTAATGCACTTTGTATGGTTAATAAAGTTAGAAAATCTTTCTTACATTCCGAGTGAGGTCATCGGTGTAACTTTCTTGGTACAGATCATCTGTAAAAACAATGTGCTGTACAGTATTAGTTCAGAATATAATGAAATCAAAATATAATGCATTTCTTTTTTTTTAACATTTTCTATTAACACATTAACGGCGGGCGATATTTTGTGTGATCATAAAAACTTTAAGGTACAGTCGAGCTAAATTGTATTACTACGACTCCCGCCTTTAAGCCGCAGTCGAGCTAAATCGTAGTACTACGACTCCCGCCCTTAATGTGTTAAGTAATAATGGAACCTTAAATATAGAACTAAATGAAAATTAAGACTAACCAAGTGCCGTTTGCGTGTAAGATGTTGTCGTCGTTCCCGGAAATTCGCGGCGCTGTACGTCAGTATCAAGTGCATGTATACGTTCTCTACTTCTGCGCAATTCTCGCCGTAGCTTTTCCCGTTCTTCTTCCCTTTCCTTAATGATATCCTGCAATTGATTAAAGATTTAGAAAAATCTCAGAAATGAAATAAATGTTTCTTTTAGTTGCGCTTTCTAATATTTGCTGTATTTTAACACATTAAGTGCCGCGCTGATTTCCATTGATCGTACAAACGTCTAATTAATGATTAAATCACTAAATCTGCAATAAATAAATAAATATAATTCAGGATACATATATTCTTACCTTATTTCACTGATTCTTTATCAGCCGTACAGTCTATTTTATAGATGCAATTAATTATATTTTGTACGTAATTTAACAAAACATACGCATGCATGCATATATACATATGTCTAGTATTCTATGTCAAAGTACATACTTGTTACTTAGCAAGGTACCCGTTAACCATTACAAAATTTCTCATATTAGGTAGAAAAGGGGTTCCCTATCGTTCCTGACCTTCGGGACTCTTTTCCAATTTATTTTAATAATAAGAAACAATATTAAACTTGAAATAGATATTCGGAGTATTGACATAAGGATTAAATTAATACATATTTCAAGTGCGTTATGATCTAAATGCAAAAGATTTATAAAAAAAAATTTCAATCAATTTACATGCTTATGCGCGCAACAATCAAATTTAGATTTGCAGTATGTTAGGATGTAAATGTTTAATCAATTTATCCCATATATTGATCCTATTTTTGCAGTCAGTCAGACGTTATAAAATGATGTCTAGTGGCTGTGACATATCGACGTCATTTTCGGATGTCCTAAGACTCGACTTAGGATGTCTAATTAATTTATTTATCACTAAAATATTTATCACTAAAATTATTATATATATTACATAAAATTTAATTGTATTCATATATATATATATATATATATATATATATATATATATATATATATATATATATATATATATATATATATATATATATATATATATATATATATATATATATATATATATATATATATATATATATATATATATATATATATATATATATATATATATATATATATATATATATATATATATATATATATATATATATATATATATATATATATATATATATATATATATATATATATATATATATATATATATATATATATATATATATATATATATATATATATATATATATATATATATATATATATATATATATATATATATATATATATATATATATATATATATATATATATATATATATATATATATATATATATATATATATATATATATATATATATATATATATATATATATATATATATATATATATATATATATATATATATATATATATATATATATATATATATATATATATATATATATATATATATATATATATATATATATA